TATACATATTATTTCCAAAAATGTACCTATTCTTAATAAATCCAGCTTGAACGTTTGACACAAAGGTATCTAAGACTCTTTTCAGTCTTTTGCTATACTACCTGAGGCTATCTAATATACTACATGTAATAAAGTAATTGGTCTTCATTTTTTTAATTGCACAGGTTTGCCCTTATCCCTTTAATTCCCTTATGGGCCTGTTTTAGTTAATATTATTTCACATTACATGTCCCACTCCGTTCACTCCAGGTTTATGTTTGGTGCCTTCTGGGTGCCCTACTTGGGTGTGTCTAGGGGCTGCGTCCTGTGAACGTTGCCTTTGCCATGTTGATCTTTATTCTTGATTTTTTTATTAAGAATGCGTGTTATTGTTTCTAGTTTTTGCTTTCTCACAATCAACATTATATGCCAAATTAATGGTTTTTATGACAAAATTTCTATTCTTTTCCAAAATGTTTTAAAATTTTGCTGTAAACTAATCACAGTCCATAAGCAACCAAAATCTCTCATGATCATTTTTGTACTTTGATAAATATTGAACTCTTAGAATTACAAGCATATAATATTTTGATAATACATGTATATGGATTTTATCATTAATGACTATTGTTTCATTTCAAGGAGAGAGTTTCTAAAAAAGCGTATAGCTTTCTACTTAATCCTTTTTGCGTTTTACTGTAATAATATTGTGTATATACATTTGACTGAAATAAAATATTGTTTAAACCAAACAAGCCGTGCTTTTGTTCTGTTTATATTCTTTATTGTAAAGGATAGGAAACATTCAAGCTTCAATGCTTAATCATCCGTATAATAATATCGCAGTTTCATATTCACTATCAATAGTCGATTCGTCAGTCAATATTACATCCTTATACAAATTTTCATGAATACAACATGTTTGGGTAAGTAAATGCTCTTGCTCATATATCAAAGTTCCGTTTTAAAGTTCGAGAAATGGAATAGTTTTTTGCTGACCATTGTGATTTTTCTAGGTTTAATAAGTAATTTGTTGGCTTTACTCCAAACTCAATACATTGTGACCTTTCCCTTGTCATAACACCTTTTATTATGTCTCCTTTAGTCAATTCAATTGAATTTGTAATAGTGGAAGATCTTCTTTATTTTCTGTTTTTATGCCCCCCGAAGGACAGCATATTAAAATCGGACTGTCCGTCTGTCTGTGCGTCTTCACTTCATTCGTATCCGGTAACTTGTCATACAATGAGGGATTTTGTAATAGCTTGGCACAAATATCTACCACATCAAGACGATGTGTCGCGTCCAATGTATTGTAATCTTGTTATCTGTATAAACTCCAACACAATAGGTCGACACAGTGTATATTCAATTGCCATTCAGTTTAATTGTTCTTAACTACAATAGTACATTTACAGATAGTTCAAAGTTTATTTATAATCATAAGTTCTAAGTCAAACATATTAGACAATGAGCTATAACTGCGTACCGAAATTAAGTGAATGCCAGCTAACATTAAAAACGACACTAGTCCGCTCACTGAGTATTTATAGGAATAACCATCTATGTTTAAGTATAATAAAAGGTGAATTATTGAAACCAAATTCTCCGCTTAGTGACAGGTAACAAATAAACTTATATGTATGGATTCCGTATTTAACGCCCACGGTGACTTCAGTTTCAGTTAACTACCAGCCAAGCTGTAAATCTTCTGCCGATGCCCTGTGTCTTCTCAGCGACGAGCACGCTCAAAGGGAAAGTGAGAAGACTGTGTGTATACCACACTTGCAAAAAATTATATAAGTATATAATTATGCAAATAAAACAATTTTCAAACATCGAAGACTATGTAAAATGTGTACTGCAAATATTTGTGCACATTATATTTAATCAATAAATTACATACATTTATTTCTTATTGGAAAATTTGACTTAGAATTTATAGAAAATAAATTTCTAATTACCTCCCTTTATTTACAAGAAATGTTAAACTGGGTTATATCTTTATAAATGATGCGTATTTGAAATTAAAATATTGACAGATCTTAATTTGAGCATCATATGTGTGAAATAAAACCATGAAAAAATTATTGTGTTACAGGATCTTTAATAACGAACGTTTAATCAACCTACCATATTATATTGCTCTAAATAATATACTTAAGTTCTGCTAATAATAGATTTTAAAACCGTTTTAGAAATTTAGTTCTTTCCTAAAATTTATCAAACGGAATGGGCTATTGTTTACGAGACACTTAATTACTAATGACCGGACAAGCGGTCCACCTAAGTATTCAATTATCTTTGAATATTTCTACTAACATGACCAAAGGGTTTTAGTTATAACATAAGGCAGGAAATCCGTGCTACAACACACTAAGACACATGTCCCTACCTCATGGGTCATGGTCACTATTATAACATTTTGATGTTTTGTTGCCTACTACATCAAGACAATGTGTTGCATTCAAGAACCACGTCCCTTCCTCAAAGGTCAAATTCACACTAACATTTTGAAGTTTCCCATGATCACAATAAGATTTAAAAGGTATACACATTCGTTGTCGGACTGTTACCACGTCTCTACCTCAAAGATCAATGTCACATTAATAGTTTGAAGATACTCATTATGACGAGAAGAGTTTGAAAATAAACATTTTTGTCCGGACAGTAACTTTGTCATGCAAAGATTTAAATATAATTTGGCAGGAATGTCTTCCATATCAAGACGATGTGTCGCGTCTCAGGCTCATGCCCGCTTGTTCATCCGTGTGTCCCAACTTACACAACAATCGTGTCCAGGCTATAACTTTGTCATGCATTGAAGGAGTTTCAAATAACCTGGCACAAATGTCTACCACATCACAACGTTGTGTCGTGTCTAAGAACCCCGCCCCTTCTTCAAAGGTCAAGGTCACACTTACATTTTGAAAGTTTGTGCTTTTACAATTAGGTACACACATTCGTTTCCGGACTGTTACTTTGTTGTTAATATAAGGAATTGAAAAACTTGGCACACATGTCAACCACATTCAGACAGTGTGTCGTAGACCCATAATTATATCACTACCTAAAAGGTCAAGGTCACAGAGGTTAAAGGTACACATTTGTGTAGAAATTGTAGCTTTGTCATGCATAGAAGAATTTTAAAATTACTTGACACAAAAGTCAAACACATCTTGAAAATGTGTTTCATTTAAGACTCATATCCGTAAGTCAAAGGTCAAGGTCACAATAACAGTTTCAGGATTTCACAATCTCACAAGTAGAGTTTAAAGATACACACATTTGTGTGTGGACTGTAATTTTTATGCGCGAAAAGATTTTTAAATAACGTAGATTTTAAAATAACGTAGCCTATATGTCTACCACATGAAGACGACATGTCGCATTCAAGACACATGTCCCTACCTCAAACGTCACTTTTACAGTTAGAAATTACTCATTTCTCAAGAAGAGTTTGAAGATACACATTCGTTTCTGGACTGTTACTTTGTTTTGCATTGAAGAGTTTTAAAATAACTTTGCAAAAATGTCTACCACATCAAGGCGACATGTTGTTTGTAAGACCTATTGTTCCTACCTCAAAGGCCAATGTCATTCTAGTTCTATAAAGGTATTTATGCTCATAAGAAGAGTTTGAAAGTACAAATAAATTTCAAAACTGCAACATTGGCATGCATTGAAGGATTTTAAAATAACTTGGTATAAATGTCTACCACCTCAAGATGACGTGTTGCATTCAAGACCTATGTCCCAAGGTGGTAAATATGCTATAAATAGCACTAAATTCCACAAGAACAATAGATATTAAGCAATTCATTCTCTTTTCATTTCAAAACACATTTCTGCAATGCTTAAGAAACATTTTCGGGGACAATAGTCACTTTTGCGTGACAGCTTTTGTTAAACTTACTATATTATAAACTTCTTTAATAATATTTTAGTATTTTTTTCTTTCCTTACCTTATATGAGCTATTGGAAATTGTTTTACCTCAAATTTCAAGAAAAGAGAGTGTGTGTGTGTGTATATATATATACACATGTCGACTTGTCATTTATATTAATATGATGTGTAACAGTATTTATTTCAACTATACGACACAACGAACACCAAAATGATTACAAAATGAAGGGATGAAAAATGACGTCTTTCTAAAATTTTTTACAAAAGGACACACTAATTTTTGTTCGTTCTTTTTAAAAAGTAATTTATTATCGCCAGACTTTATTTTTCTATAATTGACAAGTGTGCCTTGAATATGATGTGTGATAAACACCTGCAGATGACATACTGACCCAGGTGATAGCCGAAAAACTTATTTTATTCCTTAATTTTGTTTAAGATTTGTTTAAACGTTAAAGTTGTTTGCTTTTAGGGGTCCAACCTTGACTAAAACATATTTAGACTTGATTCTTCTTTTTTTTATCTTGAAAATTTGAAAGAAAAAAAGATTTTTTTTTTGGCCCACTTGCACATCAAAATTATGAATTTATGTCACGAAATACTCGTGCACTGCACAAGTAATATGACTTATGACTACTGCATATTCACACTACACAGGATAAAAAAATATTCTTACCGCTATATGTAAATAAGTAGATAATATAACACAACTACCTTTAATTCCATTTCATTTGCATCTTTAGTATAATTGAAAAAATAAGGGGGGCGGGGGGAGGGGGAGTTAAACTTGTCAGGCTCGAACTCGTAAAAATTTTAAGTTTTATTGCATCCAAATGACGACCAACTTTGCCATCAAGATATTTAAAATTCTTTTTTTTATCTTCTACTATATTCTCTTCTAAAAATAATTGTTTAACCTTTTTAGACAAAAATTGTAAACTTTAGTGTACACTAGAAATGCAACGTCACTCTTACATTATCATAAAGTCACTGTAAATCGAAACAAATTACAGACCTTATTGAAAAGACCACCAAATATTAATAAGACAGTAGTGTCAGGCAATATCAGATCAATACAATACCGATATCTTTACGCCTGACAGTCTATACAAAATGTACAGACTAAGTTTGTCCTGTTAAAGTAGGACTTATTTTACCTAACATTTATTATTGGGGAGTTTTATTTTTTTTATACGATTATTGTGACAACTGCAACCTTAATATGGGAGGTATTAAATCTAAATTTCCAGTGAAAAAGGTACTTTTTTATATTACGAAATGTTCTATTATTAACTGGTTTAAATTACTTTATGCACTTGTTTATTTAAGTAGATCTACGTGTACATGATTATAATGATTATAATTATGATAGTTTATATATTGATAACCAACATTGATTTTCTTATCTTACCTTTAAGCTCTTGTAAATGTATGCTAATGTTAAAGATAGTGACACCTCCAACCACAGCGTAAAAAACATGACCAATTTTGTCAATATCTCTTCTATCATTTATCGAATATGTCACTTCATTTAATTAAATTTTTAATTATTTTAAATAATGATAAAAATAATGATGATGATAATAAATTAAATAATGATAACATAATAATAATAAAAAAATATTATTTGTATTACATGTGTAATCATTATTATTATCATTATTATCATTGTTATTATCATATTATTATTATTTTTATTAATATTATTATCAATTTTATAATAATAATAATAATTGTTATTATTATTTTCCAAGAAGAACCCGTGTGTTGGAAAATAATTATAGACGCAGGACTGATGATATTTGATTCAGATATATTTTATTTAATATAAGCCCGTGAGTGGGATTGTTACGGCAACACCCGTAACCGTCTAATTTATACTTTGCCGCGTTATAATCACAAGTGACTACTTTTTCTGTGAAACTTTATACATATCATTTATGGCAAAAGATCTACATGTTAATGACTGCAACATAATTTATATATTGATAATTCATCAATGATGTTCTAATCTTTCGCGCTTGTGATTATTCATGTATGCTATTAGTAATAGAAAGAGCACCGAAACACGAGGCTATCTGATTTGTACGAGGGGGCGTAGCCCCCGAGTATAAATCATATTGCCGAGTGTTTTGGTGTTCTTTCTCTTTTGTATCATAGTCAAACATAAAAACACGTTCCCTGTTGTCAAAATTTTAAACCCCGGGAAAAAGTTACCAATGAACGAGAATCTGAATATGATATTTCTCCCTCTTTCCCTTTCTCTGCCGTCACTATATGTAAACCCCAGCAAAAATGAGCCAATCAACGGGCATAATCTGGAGTGCGGGAAACTGATACCTGCACTCCAGTTACCGCACTGTGCATGTAAATGTATACGATTTAACTCTTACACTTTTTCAACAGAAAGGTCCCCAAACTATGATACAACTAGAGGAAGTAACACCTCCATGCACAACAGCGTATATGGCCAACTTTAACAATATCTCACTTTTGTCATGCATCGAATCTGTCAATTTTTGTGCCCCCACATTAGTGGCGGGCATTTAGATTTACCCTTGTCCGTCCGTCCTTCCGTCCGTCCGTCCGTCCGTTCACTTTTTTGTCGCATGTAACTCAAAAAGTATTTGACCTAGAGTCATGAAACTTTACAGGAATGTTGAACAGCATGTGTAGTTGTGCACCTGGGTATTTTGGTCTGGATATTTTTAGTATTTTCAGAGTTATTGCCCTTGACTTAGAAATTTTTTGCAATTTTCACTTTGTGTCGCATGTAACTCAAAAAGTATTTGACCTACAGTCATGAAACTTTACAGAAATGTTGATCAGCATGTGTAGTTGTGCACCTGGGTATTTTTGTGTGCATATTTTTAGTATTTTTAGAGTTATTGCCCTTGACTTAGTAAAATTTTGCAATTTTCACTTTGTGTCGCACATAACTCAAAAAGTATTTTACCTAGAGTCATGAAACTTTACAGGAATGTTGATCAGAATGTGTAGTTGTGCACCTGGGTATTTTTGTGTGCATATTTTTAGTATTTTTAGAGTTATTGCCCTTGACTTAGTAAAATTTTGCAATTTTCACTTTGTGTCGCACATAGCTCAAAAAGTATTTTACCTAGAGTCATGAAACTTTACAGGAATGTTGATCAGCATGTGTAGTTGTGCACCTGGGTATTTTGGTCTGGATATTTTTAGTATTCAGAGTTATTGCCCTTGACTTAGTAAAATTTGGCAATTTTCAACATGTGTCGCACATAACTCAAAAAGTATTTGACCTAAGAGTCATGTAACTTTACAGGAATATTGATTAGCATGTGCAGTTGTGCACCAGGTATTTTCGTCCGGATTTATTTAGTATTTTAAGAGTTATTGCCCTTCACTTAGAAAATTTTTGCAATTTTCAACTTGTGTCGCAAGTTTCTCAAAAAGGATTTGAATAGTCAATAAACCTTATGGGCAGGTTGCTCAGCATATTTTAGATTTGCACCTGGGGTTTCGCTTGTGGATTTATCCAGTATTTGTAGAGTTATTTCCCTTGACTTAGTAAAAAGATTGACAGAACAGTGTTGCGGTGGGGGCACCCGTGTCCTATGGACACATTTCTAGTTTATATTTTTTATTACTTTAAAACTTATTATTATTGCTACTAAACTCGGTGGAATACATGCAACTGTGTGCTAAATTCAACATAAATAAAATTAAAAATACCATCGATTTTCATTCCTGTTAAAATATAACAAATACGCATAACCATTCTCATTTTTACAACTATCTTGAGAACTTAGTTAAAATGCAATTAATCAAATATCTCTAATGTCTTTGTTATAAATTTTGCTTTTTGGGTGTTGTTTTTACAAATATTTATGAGAAAATTAAAAACATAATTACATGTATTCATAAGGAAAAGATGTGATGTGCTGGCTTCATAGCCCTTGATTTTCATTTACATTTAAATTTTCTTTGTCCTCCGCCATTTGTTTGTTAAGGGCACACGTTAATCATGGAGACTGTTCACCGCTTTTCATGGAATGACACGAACAAATCACGTAGAAGGTTACATGACCACGGCTGTATGTTAAAATCCGTTGTTATTTCTAAGACTCTAGAGTCAAAAAATGGTCCCTCCCAGTTGTCCCTTTGATAAACAATTACAGAAATTACTTCAAATGATATTGGCGGCGGTAGGTGATTATTGAAAATTATTCAATATCTAAATAAACAATTAGATTACCGTTTGAGATTTAAAAAAAAACCCATAGAATGAGTGGATTTGAAATGGGGTAATACTAAAACCACAGTATATAAACCAGTCAACTTCCTGTACTCGCAAGAAAGATACAAGTAAAAGTAAAAATATATAGGCTCCAAAGAAGGGTACACGTGCTTGTACTTGCAAGACAAGGTACATATTGAATTATATATAGGCTCGTAAGACAGGGTACAGTGATTTTGTTTATATACTGTGAAAACAGACAAGTCATTGTGGAATGGTTAATTCCAAAGCATGCCAGCGGCGTGTATACAATGAAAACAGGTCATCAAGGAATCTCTTACAACTAAACTAAACATAATACAAGAAAAGCATTGATGCAAAGCATCAAAAGGCGTCCAAGCAAGAAATGCAGGAAGTGAAGATGAACTAGTAGACATATGATGACAAGATATTCTAATAAATTTTTCAATGGTAAATTGGTGTATATCACTTATGAATGAGCGGACGAAAGACATTGTTCATTATGAACTTTGGTAGGCATGCTAGAGATTAGAATATTACTTGTTTTTTCCACAGGAACTTGCAATTTTATCAATACAATGTATTAACGATAATATCCAAAATATACGGGTCAATGATATTCAAAATATACTCCTCATATGGTATAAGTTTATTTATACTACATAGGGGGGAATTTTTGGATATTATCATTAATATTTGTGATTTGATAGAATTTCAAGTTCATGTGGTATTTTCTTTGGAACATACAAAAAAGTAGTCAAAATCAATAGATCTTTTACATTTTAGAAGTAATAAAATACATGTATACTATTATGTTATAATTGTTATTTTTATGGTCATAAATGTAATATCGTGATTATTAATAGCAACGAATATATACAATCCTTTATAATCCATTTGCGTAAGGCATGATCAACACCACACTTGTGCATTGTCCCTTATTATGTAATTCCTAAAAGCGAAGAACCCATCTTAAGGTATCTGTACACACTTAGTAAAAATATGACACTGGTTATATTACCATGTTGATCATAATTGTTTTATTATACAATAATTGTAATATCGATTTTATATTGTTTTTTAGCTCACCAGAGCCGAAGGCTCAGGGAGAGCTATTAGTATCAAAGGGGGATGCTCCGGCGTCCGTCGTCATGCGTCAACAATCGTCTTCTTCTCAGAAACTACTAAGCAGATTTACTTCAAATTTGGTCTGTAGCATCCTTGTGATAGTCACACTTGAATTTGCTCATGTCATTCCAATTGGCCCCTTTTATGGGCCAGCAAAGCTAAAAATAGAAAAAAACCTTTAAACATCTTCTCCTACAGAACTAATGGATGGATGATCACCAAACTGTGTCTGAAGCATTCTTGGGTAGTCTGTTATCAAGTTTGCTCATATCAATTTAATTGGCCCCTTTTACGGGTCTCTAGGGCTAAAAATAGAAAAACCTTTAAACATCTTTTTCAATAGAACTAATGGATGGATGATCACCAAACTTTGTCTGTAGCATTATTGGGTAGTCTTTTATGAGTTTGCTCATATGAATTTGATTGGCCCATTTTAGGGGCCGCTAAAGCTTAACATAGAAAAACCTTTATACGTTTGTTTCTACAGAACTAATTGATGGATGATCACCAAACTTTATCTGTAGCATTCTTAGGTAGTCTTGGCCCCTTTTAGGGGTCTCTAGGGCTAAAAATAGAAAAACCGTTAAACATCTTCTTCTACAGAACTAATTGATGGATGATCACCAAGCTTTGTAGCATTTAACAGGAAGTGTTTTATCAAGTTTGCTCATATTAATTTGATTAGCCCCTTTTAGGGGCCGCTAAAATTAAAAAAAGAAATATGTTTAAACATCTTCTCCTACAGAATTAATTGATGGATGATCACCAAACTTTGTCTGTAGCATTTTTGGGTAATCTTTTATCACTTTTTGGGTAATCTTTTATCAAGTTTGCTCACATAAATATGAATGGCCCCTTTTAGGGACCACTAAAGCTAAAATTAAATAACATGTTTCAAAGTTGATGGTGTCATATTATTACCATAAAAATTCGCTGGTCTCTAGTAAATGCCGGTCAATATAGACCGGAAGAGACCGGGAATTACCGAAATCAGACCGGCGAATAGTACATCCGTCTATAAATAGATATTTGGAAGGTCATCACTCTATTTGCAGCTTTCGGATGCATGTACAACAATAACATACCATGTACTACAATATGTTTAATAATAAAACCGTAGAGCGCAAGTAATAGAGCGCGATTGATTGACGGAAGATTATTTCATTTTAATATGTTTGCATTGCGAAACTCTCCAGTTCGCTATTCATTTTTAATAATCAAAACACCCACTAATCGGAACGATTGGCTATTATGACCGACTTAAAGGCCCGAGAAGTTGCAATTGCCCTTTCACAAAATCTGATTTCATTCCATAAGAGGCGCCGCGCTTCGACGCGGACGCCAATAATAAGAATATGGATAGCAAAAGATTTTTGAAAACCCAATGGTACTGAATTATCTTAATTTCGTCTTCTACTTTGCTTCCTCGGACGCTAGTAGGTCATAAGAATTTTTTATGGTTATTTAGTTTTTCATTATATATGCATGATTTTCCGGGTTTTTATTACCATAACAACTGTTTGAATAACGCTTAACCGTTAACCGTCTCGTTTCACCATCAAGGGCACCCTCCTTTATATGTTTTGTTTCTTGCTACATTCTACACTTTTTGCGTCTTTGGAAACAGTACATTTTCGGAAACTTTGGTAAGGATCTTCGGATTTGTTTTGATCTTCAGTCTTTGTTGAACTATAATCCCATTCTTTTACTGGTTTAAAAGCCAATCCGGTGAATTAAACTACAGTTTGTGACTATTCTGTTGATTAAGTGTAAAGCGCTGCTTTGAAAATGTGCGGGTTTTTAGACGTTATTTATGACAGTTCATTCTGAAATACCATTTTCTCAAACACAATTTTCTTGATAATATATTTTCGGCATTTATCAACTAAGCAACATATTTTGAATCACTTTTCAGATGAAATATGATAAATAAGATCAACAAGGAAAGGCGGCGTTCAATGAAAGCCTCCTTTATTGAAGTGCGTAATGTTTTCTCACGAGTCTGAAACATTAAAGTCCGATAAACACCTCTTACAACTGGTATCTAGGAAGTTTTATCTTTTATTTGGAGCTTACCGCGACTTAGAAAAAGAACATTTTTGTCTTGATGTAGGTATGTGAATGTTCCATAAGCATTTATCAATGCATTACACCAACAAAGCAACCTAAAATTTGATATTGTTGTTTTCATTACTTCCTAGGGGTCACCCATTTTATAGATGTTTATATCGTCCATAACACATTTCGCCACGCTTCGACATGACGTTGATTTTTCAAGTCGTCTAATTCCTGGTCTTTGCTACATACCATAGCAATACCCTAGCAAACACCACAGTGATGATAAGCACGTTGTAAATATTAGAGTTAAAACCTTAGTCTTTAATTCAACCAGTAATTAATCATCCTAGTTTGAGCAGAGTAATTGCAATCAAAGCTGGATTTCGATATTCTTTGAGACACCACTGTCTAAATAAAAGAAATTTCCTGTAAGCATGTAAACTAAAGACATTTTATTTTAATATAGTACAGAAGTTGTCAAGTTTAACATTATTTAATGTATATTGTAAGGTTTTGTTGAATTTAATTTCTCTTTCCATGAATCCAGTGATACCTTAGATAATGTTAACTTGAGTACTGCCCTTTCTTTTGTTAAATATCATTATATTACTAAAACAAATAAACAGTTTTTACCAGTGAAGAAATATATATCATACATTAATATACTATTGAGAAGAACACTCTATACTTTAGTTTAATAATATTTTATTGTATATTTGTACATGATACATCATTGTCTTAAGCATACATACGATGTACATAAAAAGGGCTGGACCAAAAGTCATACCAAATAGGGACCTCCTCCACTCAGTGTGTGTTCTTTCCGTTGATGATACATGTATTGCCATTTTAGATGGATCAAACCTTCAATTATTGACTTTACCTTGATTTTTGTTGTTATTGACCATAAAATGTTATTTAAGAATTTTATCAATGGAATGTCTTCATACTTGAGCACACATACCTTAAGGACAATGTTTTCAAGAAGTTCAAAATAATTTTAACTTGCCTCATAAATGACTGTGACCATGAAGTATTTCAGTAGATTTTATATAAACTACTGTGAAAATAATTAATTGATTGTCTTCATACTTGGGCATTACAATCATAAGACCAATCATTAAGACGATTTAATTGAACTTGACGTGGAGTTTGTTTTAACATAAAGAAGTTAACACAAAAAAGACATGCAACGGGTGCGAAATTCTAGTTTAGTGGCTGTTTGATTAAGAACTGACATTTTCACCAAGCTTTACAAGTTTACAGAAATTATTTTTATCCTTTCAGAGCATTTATAATACAAGAAGACCAAATGTAAGTATTTAAGTTTTTTTTTTGTTTTACTGAATAAATCTTGTATGAATGACCTGATAATTTGCAAATAGGTTTTTGACGGCTATTGCTATTGTAGTATTAAGAACATCATACAATTAGGAATGCCTTACAGCAAGAAAATAAATGTTCTCATTATTTATTGTGTTGACACCTTTGCTTATGTATGTTGCAAGAAGTCCGCGTGTCGGGCATTATAGGTCGAAAATATGTACTGCCGTACGATGTACAATGTTAAAATGTGGTAGAATTCAATTTAGAAGAACGAAAAAAGAACAAAAAAACCCCAAAAAACAACGAAACAATCAGAATAGGCAAATGATTGGAAAAGGACTTAATAATACAAAACGATAGCGGTCAAAAACCTATTTGCAAATTTGCAAATTTCAAGGTCATTTATACAAGATTTATTCAGTTAAGCAAAATAACCAAATATCAAAAGTGTATTTATAAACGCGTTGAACAGAAATCAGACTAATAATCGCTAAAATCGTTTTTAGGTTAAGTTATGAGTATATTCTTTTGTTATCTTTTTGCCCCAGTTGATGTAATGTTATTGTGTCGTAATTTATGGTTTAGGCTTTTTGACCTCAGTGGAGTCCATTCAGTTTTCTAAAATTCTGCAAGAGATGAAGAGAAGTTTTTATCTTTGATTATTTATCAAATGTAATACTTTCACATTTCTTCAATACTTTTAACAATGCTGTTGCATATTTATTAATTGTTTTTCTTGTTTCAGGAAACTGTCCGGTTTGCTGGATATCTTCAGGAAGTAAGTGGTCTTAAAATTAGACATACACAGTTGGTTTTGTTTGTTATTAAAATATCTTGTCGGTTCGTTTTATTCGAAATTGAACTGAAATGCGCAACTGTCTGTATTTATTGACACATAAAAAGGCTACAAAAGTTAATTTTATTTTTAAAAAATTTAGAAATCTTTAATCGCATTATTATTATTATTATTTTTATTATTATTATTATTATTATTATTATTATTATTATTATTATTATTATAAATTCAGAGCATTTATGGTGTAGGGAGGCCAGATGTAAGTATTTTTAAAATCATTATTCTTAGAGAAATCAGTTTTTTTAAAAATATTTCATCAAGAATTATTTTCTTCTGTTTGATGTATTGCGTAAGTTATGTTTCTCTTGAATGACATGTAACTTGCAAGTGTATTTTAACCAGTCCACGAAAATATTGATAATGCACCAATATTCATTGTAGAAGGGAAAGTCATTGATCAAGAATTGTCATACCATTTACCTGCATGATAATGATTATAAATTATTTTTTCAGATTCACTCTCCTTGTTTTGTTTTTGTTTTTTTTAGTTGTTTTTGTTTTGCCAATTGAAAAGGTCTGATTATGTTTTCCCTTTTCTTAAATAAAGAATTGAGCATGCCAAAGTTACATATTCTCCATTTATATAGCTTGCAATGAATTTTTTACTTTCACGAACCTGTGGAACATCACGGCATTGAATGACAGTGACATATTCATTGCAAGCTATACTTAAAGGTATACTATAATCAAATTTGACGTTTGACGGTTGACAGAAGATAGATTGATATCATGCAGTTTGTTAAATATCTCAAATTTGATTTCTTTTCATCTGATATTACTTTTGGATCTCATGACTATTAATTTATTCATTGTTTTTACTTAGATTACAATTGTTATCTGGTTATATTGAACTTAATTAAGGCCTGATTATATTACAGACCACTGTTTGTCTATAATACACCAAACTATTCGCATAATTAAAAATAAAATACACTATATTAAGGAAAATATTTTGATATGCTATTCTTTACTGAGACACACTTTCAACAGATATAAAGAATAATGTTCTATTACATGAAGGTTATAACTATATGTTTATAAAACATAATACTGTACTTCTTGAAGAATTTCTTTTTATAAGTTCCAGCCCATTTAAGATCTCAAAGATGTTTTGGTCTAGAATGTTTCCTCCCAGAAACACTTTGGCTCAAAAAAAGAAGACAAAAGTAAACCTTTTTAATATGAAAGTATATAGCCCCCCTCACTATACGTTAGTGTTTTAGAAAAGTTAAATGTATGTATCGAATATGCTTCAGAAATAGGTAAAATTATTGTAATAATAATTAAGATCAACTTAATTCAAACAATAGAAAATTCCTTAACACGATGCCGACCATAATAGCTCAGCAAACTCATGTAATCATTCGCGTACTTTAATGGACCCAAATAATTCTTCTAATAATATTTTACTGCATGACTCAGGAGTTTGAATGTCGTGTGTAGAATTATAAAAAGAATTATTACAATAAACACAAACAACAGTCTTTTTACATAATGATTCAGTTGATGCAGAATGTCACTGTTATGATAACGTAATACCACTATTTAAAAAGGGAATAAGAAAATTCCATCTAATTATATCATTAATCATTTTTCTCGGTAAAGTAATGGAAAGAGTAATTTCTAAATATTTATATAATAACCTACATTTAACAGAACATTTATCGAAGTATACAGATAATTATCTGATACTTTAGTTAACAAACACAAAAGTTTTATAGATAAACAGATAATTATCTATTATTTACCTGGTAAGTGTTGGCAGTTCTGGGCACTTTTTAGTATTTTGGAAGTGAGATTCTTATCCTGTATTTATTTATCTAACAGAAGAAATATCAAGCTAGCCTGATAAATATATGTTATTTATCGTGTTAACACAAAAACCAACTAGTTAGTCAAATAGTTAGCTCGATATAATATGGTAAACTGTTGGAAGAAAATCTGCCATCATACTTAAACCAATTTTGGAATATGCGTCAATTTTATGGGATAGCTAAACTAATGTAGAGAAAGAAACTGTAGAAAAGATGCAATATAAATATATGTAATAATAGTAACTGGTCTTACACGTTCTGTTTCATGTGATACATCTTTTAATAAAGTCCGTTGAGTTTCTCTATTAGACCGGCGGATAATGCAAAAATAGACTAAGTATAAGTTTATAAAGAGAAACATGGGTCTTTGTCAACTTATATTTCTGAGTTATTCCCTACGGAAGCGTATCAGGGCCTCCACTTATCTAAAAGTTTCACGTCATGTCAACTTGTTTCTTCTCGTTTTGACCAAATACATTCCATGAAGATGTTATGATTAATACGTAATACATAAAACATTCCGTGAAGACGTTAAGATTCATACGCAATACATAGATGTTTTTAATCATTGCAAAAAAACTTTGTTAAATTACGTGAGCTATTTGTCAATACGAGTAACGTCTTTGCGTCTTACTAAATGTTTCAGCAAAGTCGTGAAATCAAGAAGTGTTGACAGGATTTTTGTTGAAGAGACAAAAACTTCAAGCAAATCGAGAAAAATTCAGTTGCAATGCCTAAAAGCTTCTCATATTTGTTAGTAAATTTTATTGAGAAATGCAAAAACATCTTATCAATGCGAATAAAAATAAGTTGACTTGGCGCAAAACATCTCACCGACTGTAGGCCCTGATACGCTTCCGTAATTCCCACCAATGGTCAAGAAAATAATCATTATGATCTGAGAAATAACTCGAGCTATTTAACTATACAAAGACGTATAGAAATCCATTCTAGATCTATAATCTCTTAATGCACGTGTTAAACTATGTAATAACTTTCACAAACCATTCGCGATGCCCCAACCCTCTCAAATTTAAAAAATGTAATGAAAAATCTTTTTTAATCGCCTGTTGTTCTCAAAATATTTCAAGTGGAAAACGTATTTCTTCAATTCAACATGCTAGAATAAGAAACCGGTGCTGAATTATTTACGTCAAAATCCATTATGTGCCTGAAGTAGTGGAATGGAAGATGCAGAGCACTATTTTGTCTTAAATTAAAACAGGTTACCGAATAAAGATGCAACTTATTTTTAGCTACTAGACCTTTTCAGCCCTTAAATGCAGGAACACTTTTATTTGGAAACTCATTATTTTATCATGCCGGAAATGAATTTGACTTTGTGAAGAACAGGAATTTATTTAAAAGTCTGAAAGATTTAAATCTAATTGATACATCAAAGTATAATTCAAGTTACAGACATATCAGGACTTGAACATGAGACCTTCCTATCACCATGTCAGTCTATACAAAGTCTAGGCTGCTTTAACGGCTGAGCTATCTCGAAAACTCGTAATTTATAATGATATATTTTTTCTTTATAATGATTTTAATTTGCCTTTTCTGTATAATTTTCATACAAAATAAAACCTAATCACCTGTACCCTACTTTTTGTTCCGTTCTATATTCATTTTTGTATTTCCGACTTTAAAAAGAAGCCGATAATTATATTTTAAATACATTACCTACTTATTTGAACCCATTTGCATCTGTCAAAGATATTAGAATCCAGAAAACTCTGTTGGACTTTATTTGAGTGGTCATTCTACAAGCGTAGATATCTAAATGATAGACATTTTCAGCGAAAAGGTGTTTAGAAAGATTTCTGTTTTATAAAAAATCCAGTTAATTTCGTAACAATATTACCAAACACACTTATATGATCGATTTAACCGTGAAAAGAAATTTTGCTGCTCCTTTAACATCGGAAAACCTTGCCTATTATTCCTAATTTGAGTATGTCCGCGGACAGATGGAAATAGCCGAACTATTTTTATTATCCGCAGTTGCAATTCGACCAATCAGAACTTCTTACTTTCACGCCATTAGAAAAATATTATTAAACAATCCCCAAAAGCTGCAAATAGACCTCTCGCATGCCTCTTTTTTAACTTGTAACGTTCAAGATAAAAAAAATCACTCCTTTGTTGGAACGTGTTTCCGAAAGTAGATAAATGCCGAAAAATAACTGCCGAATTTTAAAAAAAAATTTTACTCCCTTTTTTCTTAATTCCACTAGAATTCCGTGATTTGCAACTATTCTAAGGAAACAATCCGAACAATTTATATTATCAAAACAAATGTTGTACAAAAAGTAATAACTTGTTGCCAAACCCATTTGCAATTCACTTATCTGACATAGATTTTTGTGTTATCTATATTTTACATGCATTATTTGTTGCAATAAAATATCTTTAAACTAAACTTATAGAAGTTTCAAACGAAAAGTCTAATGGTTGAGTAGTTATCAAGTCCATAGCAAGCGGAAATTCCCTTTTCCTCGCATTTGTCAGTTTTTTTTTTTACTTTTGGACAATATGCCGCTTTTGAAGGAATGGCACTATCGTGTAACATTGAATGTTCCTTGATAACCCCCATAAGAACACATCTGCGAATGTTTGTTTCTAAATTCAAAATTTCACCATTTTCGTGGTTAAATGTTGAATTTGCTAAAGCCGGTGATAGAGGGGGGGGGGGCGTGAATGGTAACTTGTACGTTTCAGTTCCGTCAATTAACAGGCTCAATAAAGCAGAGCCTGCAACATTTCAAATTTTGCCGTGTTTGGGTCTCTCTTAAGCAATATTGTTTTTCTCTATTTAAGAATCCACCATAATTTCACTGACTCGGTTTTTTAACATATCCTGAATCAAAAGAACGTTTTTATCATAATATTATCTGATTTTCGAAATTTAAATGATGATAACATAGAAAGTGAATCTGAAAAAAAAACAACAACAACAAAAAAACAAAACAAATGTATGAAAAGAATAAATCAGTAGCATGTGCTTAAAGATCCTGTATGTTTTGTGATTGATATTGTTAGTGTTTGTATACTTTGTGTGTGTATTTGCGTTTATTAATACTCGCCACCGGTTGCCCATATGGGCGAGTCCTCCAGAAGAGTATTAGTCATTTTAGATTTTTGGAGAATAGTGCAATTACAGATACAGAAAGATGCCCCAATTCCAAAAGCTTCTCCTGGTTCTTTAGCGTGCCAAGTGTTTAAGCACCCATACACGGGACCTCGATTTAAAGTCTCATCCGAAAGACTGATTAGTAATTTTAGTTGGCCAGCCCGGGAATCGAACCCACAATGTCGAGATTACAAGTCTCGCACTCTAACCGATTGAGCTATGCGGGCTGGCTTGTATACCACACTTGCAAAACATTATATATGTATATAATTATGCAAATAAAACAATTTTCAAACACCGAAGAATATGTAAAATGTGTACTGCAAATATTAATGCACACTATATTTAATCAATAAATTATATGCATTCATTTCTTAATGGAAACTTTGGCTAAGAATTTATAGAAAATAAATTTCTAATAACCTCCCTTTATTTACATGAAATTTTAAATTCGGTAATATCTTTTTAAATAATGCTTATTGGAACTTAAAATATTAACAAATCTTAATTTGAACATCATATCTTTGAAATAAAACCATGAAAAAAATGTGTTACAGGATCTTTAAGCAGTATGTATATATACATATACATGTATTGTCAGGTAGTCTCATTCTAGATGCAGAATGATTTTAAAGAAAGTTGAACATACACACATCTTTAGAACCGTCCGTGTAAATATGGATAAAATCTTCTTGCTCTCCTTATTATATTAGATATTATGAAAATGTTACTTAAAATTGTCAGCCGAATCGGATGATTTTTGAAGTAGAGTGGCCACTTTTAGCTTCTGGGGCATTGTAAGTCCACAGAGACATGTATCTCTCATATCCCTTTTGGGAAGAAAATTGTTTTTGATTATTTAATTTAAATAGGTATTTATTGGCTAAATAATGCTGAATCTGGTAATAAATATCGTAACTGATATTTTCAAAGTGTGTAATTAAATGAAAACTAGACGGTAAAAGTATTTAATATTTTACAAGATCGACCAATATACTTCTTTAAAAAATTTAGGGAAACTTTGATAACAGAAGCACAAGATAATATTATTCAAGGCCATCTTTTTCGTGTGAAAGAACTCTTGAGAGAATATTATTTTGAAAGACAAGTAAAAGTATACATTTATTATCAATATGTACAATGATGTAGTTGTATCAGTTTTTAGTTTAGTGATATATTTGTAAATTAATGAAAATTAGGACGTCTGGATAAAAAGGAAACCTGACAATGTTTCTCCAAAGACTTCACCAATCATTGTCAAGGAAACAGTCATCTGGACAGAAGGAAGGGGGCGAACACTAAAACGACATGGTAAATATGACTATTTAAATGATTTTAACATTAAGAAATGATGTCTGTTAATTCAACAATATTACATTTATGAAAGCTTTAACATAGAGTTTTGCAAATGAACGATGTTGAATGTGAGCAGGGGAATCGTTGTGCGAAAAGCCTTTTTTTTGTTTTTGTGAATAGTTCTGTTTGCATGAATGACCTAGATACAGTGTTTTTTTTAAATATATTTAAAAATCCTGGTCACAACCTTTAAAGCCTTAAACTATGGATAAATATATATACGCGTACATTGTTTGTCAGTTGCATTTGCAGTTTTTGCAGCTACACAATGACGTCTAAAACATATATGTGCAATTATATAATAAACCACAACATTGTAGGAATCGGAAAGATTAATTTCTTTTGGATATATTAAATTGTAACAAGCTTTCCGTGCGCGACGACAGTCATTGACGTTCCTGTATGTATGTCTTCTTCTTCATGGTTTGTGATAGGCATTGTTTTAATTTTTTTGGGGCAAACATCGTTAAAACCACAAAGGTAGATATTTTTCTTTTCAAAATATTAAAAAATCCTATCATTTTAGTGCATTCTTTTCGAATTCTTTTCTTTTCCTATTGCTACAGTCATTTTGCCGTTCCCAATCCTGTTGCTGTTGCTATCTAGAAACATTTGTCAAATATTTTAAATCCCCTGTCGCGTTGCAGGGAGGGTATATATTAGGAATGGCCTCCGTCCTACCGTCAGTCCGTCTAGGCGAACTCGAGGCGCTTGCTGGGTTCCCAATACAATTTGTAGAGCGCTATAAAGTGGTTGCTCCCTCAAGGTCAAGTTTACACTAAAAGGTCAAATGTTAAATGTTCTCCATTTCGTATCTGATCGATTCTTTTCAAACAGCTGAAATATGTTTTTTAAATAACTTGGCACAAGTGATCACCAATTTTGAGACGATTTTCAGAGCGTAATAATTGGACTGCATCGCCCAAATCACACTTAAAGGTCAAGTGTTAAAACTGTGTATTTCTTGACCGCAACATTACTTTTAACCGCTGGAAAAATGAAATATCTTAGTACAAGTGACCACCATTATGAGACAATGTGCATAGCGTAACAATTTGGTTGCTTCCCCCAAGGTCAAGGTCACACTTAAAAGGTCAAGTGTTACAAGTGTACATTTTGTGTTCGTTCCATAATATCTTAACCCCTGCAATGTTTTAAGGTAGCTTGGCAGAAATGATCACCATCATTACACGATGTCAGAACCCAACATTTAGGTTGCTACCCCACGGTCAAGCTTAAATGTTCTTCATAACGTTTTGACTTTATGGTATATTTTAAATAGCTTGGCACAAAAAAACTATAATGCTTATTTTATGCATGGCACAGCAACAAGGTCATTGTTGTTTAAAGGTCAAGAAGTACACATTTATGTCCGCTGCGGAAAGGGTTTTAGTTGTCCTTCAGACTGCCTTGTTCATTCTTTAATTGTTTTTTTTTCATTATTGGTCATAACAATTATGTAGAACAGACATTTAAAGATCAAAATTGGCCATTCTCTTAAGTAATAAATGACCTGCAAAATTTTCAATTTTACCGCATTTGACTTTATTTGAGAATTCTGTTTTTCTCTATTCTTTTCGAATGTCATATTATGATTTTTTTATGGTATAACTGGCTATAACTTTGTTATTTATAAATGGATTTTGGTAAACACGGTTTCGTGCCAATAACTTGACATTCCAATTAAGGGCATTGGCCTTCAAACTTTATAGGCGCATTGGTCTTCGGCAATTCATGACACCTTTTTATTTTGAACGAAAGCGATCCTATACGATTTTGACTTAAAGTTGGACAAAATAACACGTTTGGAAAAACTATTAGTGTAAGTTATTCAAGTTTGACTTTGATCTCAAGTAACATAGACCATCAAGGTCATGTTTAGAATTTGATATTTTACCGTAAGTTTGACCTACAGTTAAAACTGTGTATTTGTCCTACAAAATCGCTCAATAGATAGTTAAATAAACAATTGTATACCACACTTTAGTTAAATTGTGCACATTATATGTATTCATTAAAATATATGCATTCAATTCTTATTGGAAATTTTGACTAAGACTAGATAAAAAATAAAATTTCTAATTACCTCCCTTTGTTTACATGAAATGTTGAATTTCGTAATATCTTTATAAATAATGCTTTTTGGAACGTACAATATTGATACATCTTAATAGACCTTTCTATCTTAAACGGACTTCGTAAACGGACTTCGTAATACGTAATAAACTGGGGGATTTTCTCAAAAGATAAATGATGAAAAGATCAATAAAACTGTAATACATCGGTTTTTTACATGCTATTTATAGTTTTTCTATCAACCATCAACAAATTAAAGATGGAGACAATATAACCATAATTTATATAAAGACCCAATAAAAACTAACAAACGAACAAACTTCATTTATATACTCTATTGTAGTGTTAATTTTTCAACCAATGACAAAAAAGCGATGTTTTCAAGATATGCTAGTAAATATTGGTACATGGTGTGGAAGCAGGACAAAACGTAAATGTCATCATATGTATAATATGTAGTAACGCTTCAGTGGGCATTGCACGAAATCTCGAGTGTAAGAATTATACAAAGGTCGCCATCTGAATTCACAATAACTATGCGTTGATGGTGTGGAAGTGACAGAATCAAGAGTAATTCTTGTGTTCTTATATATATCCATTGGTCCCAATATTTCGTGTGATGTTCCATCTATTGCACCCACTGCAGGTTTACAGTTTATCCCAGCTGCCATGTTTATTAAACCATTGATTTATGATTGGCCGAGTGATGTAATTCACAAATGCTGTGTAGAATGCACGTATAAATGTGCGAAATTCAACATGTACATACGCGGTGCACACATTGAATACTAGTATGGTGGCAAGTGTTACAATTAAGGGTTGGATAACGATGTATTCATATCGCAAACAATAAAATTATATTTACTGGAAACAGTTTGTGGCGACTGTAATTTCTAAGTTTATGATATCTAACATATCTATTAATGTTTCTGATGCGTTACAAGTAAGATTATAGAAAGTGTACATTTTTTCTGAGAAAATTTGAAAAACGTTTCTTTCGGAATATATAATCGAATCATTTGAAAATAAACGGTTGCGAATATCTAGTACAGTGTGTAGAGATGGCATCATTACAGCAACTTAACATGACCATGCACTAAAAGTGCTGCTAAAAGTAGCCTTCGCCTGCTAGTGTTAATTCTGAAAATCAAAATACAATGCAAACAGTACAGTGTTGCAGCAAAATGTAGCACAATTGTTGTCTAACATAACAACAATTTAACGACACATGTATAATAGCAATGGACAGGGTTTCCTACTCAAAGGTATTATTGTAAGAAAATCGGCAACTTTTGATGACCTATGGTTTAATGTTAGCCGGTATAGCATATGTACTATTATTGTTTCTTTCTAACGCTCGAGAATTTCGTATATTTTCACACTGAAGCTTTACTACATTTTATACATACTTTGGTAACAGAGATATTTATACAAATAATACGGCGATGATATTGGAGGAAGTTATAAAGGTCCGCAGCTCGCACACAGTCTACGTCAGAATAACGATGATAGAGCTGTTAAAGACCAAGTTCAGCACCCAGTGCTCGCTGTTTCAAATGTTGCAGTAGGTCAACGTAATCGACCGGCTCATCGCATGAGTCATAGGCGCTCCCATGTTAATCAAATAAGAGAAAATAGTAGGCTCTCTACAGGATATAGCCCCCACCCCCAACAAAAACAATCCAAAACTACTCTGTGAACTTGGCGTCAGCATTGACAGCAGTAACGACATTTACCTTTAGACACTACAAACTTAATGGCATGTTGGTCTTTGGTTGAATTAGCACTACAATAAGGTCTATGAATTAAGAAACTGGTATTGTCCATCTTTAATATTTTGATATGTTGAAATCGCAGCATCACAGTTTTAGCGTACTGCTCATTTTATCTTATTTTCGAACATTTATGTTTTGAGAAAATCCCCTAATTATTCCGTATTAAGAAGTACGTTTACGAAGTCCGTTTAAGATAGAAATGTCTAGTTTGAGCATATTTATGAAATTAAACCATGAAGAATTTATGTTACAGGATCTTTAAAAATGAGCTCTTCCTAAACAATAGTTCGGATTTGGCCAAACCGTTTAGAAAAACCATTGGAGGGACCTCCTAAAATAACTAGGGCTATCATTATAATAGGTGATGAATAGCACGTCCCGCGGCCTAAACTGTTTGAAATATAATTTGTCTGACACAAAATTCGAGCTTAACATATATTTTATAATGTTTCATTTGTGTACTTATAATTGTTACATTTATTGCCTATGTCGCCTGTTAACCATTATCTTTAAAACATAGGATAGATATATAGAAAAAAATAGTCATATTTGAATGAAATCTCCATAATATAGTATAATCATGAAAGTTTATGATAACAATTATTACAATCTTTTTATCTAATTAAGGGATACTCATTTGAAAAGGAAGGTAAATATTTGTTGTAAAAAAAGGCAAGAAGTGTTGAAATTATATGAAACATACGTGGTCTGGAGCAAAATTCCGACTAGACCTGCATTCTATGATGTTTCATCTATGAAATAAAAATATTACTTCTATTCATTTCCATCTTTAGGTCAGATGTCCCTAATGGGCCGGTAAGGATCTGTAAAATTGACAACATAGGAAAGTTAAATACATTAAAAGACACCTTCAAAATCTAAACTAAGAATACCGTATGAATTATGAATTATTGATATTTTCTTAACTAAAACTTTGCTAGGAGAAAGCCACTTTTTCAAAAATGAGCAAACTCTAAATAATTTATAATAATTATACTTATATTAAATGATTTCCTATTAATTGTTGTTAAGATACAAATGATAGCATTCAGATAACAAATCACACGACAAAATAGTTGTTTCTACGCAAAATGTTTGAAATATATATACAAATGTTACACTATCCCACCCATTTTAAACACTCATTTGATCATTCTATATTTAAAAAGTCTCCCTTTTTAAAAATACTTATTCAAAACAACCCCTTAACTTTATGATTTTAGTAACAATGACGTTGTCTTTGACCTATAGAAACCAAAAGCAATGCCAAGCAATATCTGTACAGTAAAATTTAATAACAATATCTCATTTCTAGCTCTCATAATCTGGTAACTATTTTAAATTTTACTGATGGCGTCACAAAGCCATCCCAAGCGAGGTCTCTATACAAGCTAGCTATATATACCAAATATGATTATAATATCTATTTCCATATTGTAATTTTTGTCCAGAAACCGTTTTCTATCTTTGGTAAAAATTATCTCCATCCTAATCCTAGGGGGTCCAACAGGAATTCGATGGTAGGTATCTTCATAAAATTGTAACATGCCGAGTCTAATTACAATATGTCATTCCTATCTCCTCTAGTCATTACCTACAAACCATTTTCTCTATTTTTAGTTACAGTTTTAAGACCGCCTCCGTGATCGAGGGGTTAGAGTCGATGACTTCTAATCAAAATACCTCTCTGGCGTGGGTTCGATCCCCGGGAGATGCTTTGGTAGTTTAGTGCGGAGGAAGGTAGTCTAGTACTGGTGTAACTCTCCAGGAACGATGGTTAAGAAACTACCCGCCTGTATGACTGAAATACTGTTGGAAAAAGGCGTAACATTAAACAAACAAACAAACAGTTACAGTTTTCTTGCTTTTGAACCTAGACCTTAGTCTCTTCATGATCATAAGCTTGCTATATGCCAAGTGTTATTACAATATCTCATTCTTACTTTTCTTATATGCCAGAAATAATTTTTCTTTTAAAATTTTTATAGTGAATTTGACATTGACCCGAGGAGGTGCTAAAGCAAAAACAACCGCGGATTGCCTTCATATAAGCTTGCTTCACACCAAGTTATATAACAATATATCTTTGCTTACTCATCTGAAAACTATTTAGGTTACATTGACTTTAACTTTGATACAAGGGGCCCAAAAACAATCCAAACCAGGGTCTTCGTATAAGCTTGCTGTATACCAAGTTTGATTACAATATCTTATTTCTTTTGGTATTTTCCGGAATTCATGTTTCTATTTTAAATAACATTGATCTTAACATTGACCCCAATTCCAAACTGTGTTTCAGTATAAGGTTTTTATATACTAAGTTTGATTGCAATAGCTCAATCCAAAGTCTTGTTATTGCCAGGAAACAATGAAGTGGACCGACCCACGGACGGGTCGACTGACAAAGTTTACTCCTATGAATTGTAGAGTCTGTAGAGTCATGCCATTATTGTGGATTATATTTTAGGTTATTTTTATAGAAAAGTTAACCTAATTTTCATTAAATTATATATAATATAGTTCAGCAGACTATTTATAGTTTTTATAAAAAAAAACCTTTTGAATGATTATATTGTCAATTTTATATAACACTTCCATACAAATCAACATATACATTTACTGGTCTTCATATTTATATTTCTCAAGCAAGAAAATAACTTTACTCATATTTTTTGTAGTATTCAGAATGTTCACATGAAATTATCAATGGTTGTTCATTAATTGTCATCTGATCAACTTACTTTTACAAATATTTTATTTCCTAAAATTTTCCTTAAATGTTCACTGGAGCCTCCATCCTTGTTTTATGTGGGTTCGTAGTGACATCCGCCATTTCGTATCAAATTGAATCATATTTAACTTTCGAAAATAATATGTATAAGAGCTATCCCATTAAGAATAATGCAACAAAACGTATTTATGACAATGGAGCGTGGGCCGCATAGCTTCACCATGTCGTATTTCAACAGCCAAATAACTAAATGTTATCAGGTCAATATACGGACTTAGTAAGTTACCATTAAGGAAATGATCGTGAATGCGAGTTTAAAGTCAGCTCGGCTGAATATTAAGTTTAAGTACAATTATCTAAATAATTACCCTTGAAGCATTTCTTTCAAAATGTTTTTAATTTTGTTTAAATGTTCAAATTATGTTCCACATTGACTTACGTTGTAGCAAGACGACACGTTCAATTGATAAATACTGGCGTCATTTAAGGTTCGGCCTATAACTAGCATAACTAGTTTTCGGCTATAGTGACTGTAACTAAGAATAGAAAAATTGTTTCCGAAAGCAATGACATATTATCATCAAACTTAGTATATAGCAAGCTAAATTTAAGATCCAAATTACGACTGCTTTATAATGCCTTGGGATCAAGATAACTGGCACTACAAATAGAAACATTGTTTCCAGAACGATAGATAAAGAAATCAAACTTGGTATAAAGCAAGCTTGTACGAAGACCCCAGATGGGATTGCTTTTGGACCCTCTTGGGTCTCTGCCTCTTTTACTAAAACTAAAAAATGGTGTCCAATAGATAGCTGGAAGTAAGTTTAAGATATTGAAATCAAAATTGGATAAAGCAAGCGTATTTTAAGATTCCAGTTGAGATTGCTGCAGAGCTCCTGGATACAAAAATAGAAAAATTGTTTTAATACAAAAACAAATAGATTTTAAAATGGGACATTGTTTTCAAATTTTGAATAAAGGGAGCTTATGTGCAGACCTAACTTTGGTTGATTTTGGACCACTTGGGTCAGGATCAATGTCACTGTTACTTAAAATGAAAATAAATGGTAACTGTAGTTAGGAAAGAAATATTGTAATAAAACAAGTCTTGGCATAAGAATTTTTTTAAGATACCAAGCTTTGGATTGTCATTGGACCCCTAGGTTCAAGGTGTATGTCATAAAAATTAGTTTATTGATTGTAATTATATTCTTTACATAAATGTCATTTGATCATAAACAGATTATATCAAATTTTGTAAATATTTCCTACTATCTCTCTTTTTGTTTACGCAGGTAATATTTTACAAATAATAATACTCTATATAAACAAAGAAATTTATTGTAATAATTATGGTTAATTCGATATAGAAACTTCATGAAATAAAGGCCGAGTTCAAATTTTTCAGACTTATTAAGTTTTAAAAGGTTAAGGTATGAATAACTTTTTGTGAGAGCTTCAGTTTTGTTCTGTAAATATTTAATATAGCAGTTTTGAAATGGTGAATAGCTTAAGTACTTTGTTTCGGCTTTATAAGTTTAAGCTATTATCCTTTGATTTGTATTTTAATGTTTGTAAAGTCATGATCTTCCATTATATTCTTTACCTGTTTAGAGCTAGATTTTGCGCTCCGTCACTGCTTTAAATTGATCTTGTAGGTAAAGTACCAGCAATACCGGACAATAAATCTAATAATCATGAAGATGAGAATCATTATAACACAATCAACGAAATTGAAATGATTGATCTAGAAGATGTGGAATCTGAAAAAAAGGTACTGGTTTATTTGAAAATTTTTCATTTTGTTACATTATGCATGCATCTTAAGATAGATATTTAAAAAATGCTAGGTGGTGTGTGCTTAAATATTTACATCAAAATTTCAGTATATTTTCAGTTTATCTCTTGGTATATTCTATTTTATTTTCCCCGCTTACTGTGTTCTCGTTCAAGGCATATGTATTCTTTTATTTTGGGACCATACACAGTTTTTCATGATATAGTTCTAACGTGTCACATTGAAGGTTCAATGAAAACCGCCGAATGATCACATCTACGGATGTTTCAAAATTCGAAAAGTCACCCTTTTCATATTTAAATGCTGTATTCTGCCTAAACCGGTGATAGAGGAGCATGGACGGTAATGCCCCATTATCGTACCGTCAATTAACAGACTCCACCAAACCGAGCCTGCACAGGTTTCAATTTTGCCGTTTTGTGCTCTTTGGCAATTTGCTTTTTTATTTTATGTTATATTTCAAAAACAAACAAAATCTCAAAAGGCCAACGAAAACGGCAAGATTGAAAATGTTTGAGGCTCTGACAAACACAGTCTGGACAGGTATCGAATATGAAGAAATCAGGATTGAAATAGTAAAAATGATTTTTTTTATTGTAACACGAACTTTTTATTAAACGAAAAGCGGAGTTTTGTTTCAAAGATAAATGATAAGTGAGCCTTAAAGAGAGAAAAAAGAGAGGTTTTAAAGGGTATCAGAGGCTATGAAGCCTCTGTTCTATACATAACAATAAAAAAGAGGAAAAGAAGGATATAAAAAAATGACCAACACAAAGTGCATCATTTTTTGTTGATGTTGTTCTTTTCTCATTTGGGGCACACGCATGTTTTTTTACACTAAACGCCACCGCTTTTTATGGAATGACACATGTCACATTGGAGGTTCCATGATGACCGCCGTACGAAGACATCTGTGGATGTTACTAAATTCAAAATTGTACTATTTTTTATGTCTGAATAATAAATTCTGCTAAGGCTTATGCCAGCGGGCGTGATCGGTTATTTAAACTTTCAAGTACCGTTCGATTTCAATCAAACCAAGCCTGTAACAGTTTCAGTTTTGTCGTTTTGGCCGTTGTTTGGGGATTCTTTTTTCATTTATAATTTGATTGAATTGACATTTATGTTCATTATTAACGCTTACATTGTTAGATGTATATTTAAAGGTACTCTACTGAGGTCTTGCCTAACGTCACAAAAGTAAATTTCCACGACCCGATATGTTACCTGCATGTTAGAGGCATTTAAACAGAATCGGTATTTATTGATATGTGTTTTATCCAATTTGCAAATCCTTACATTTGGTCTAAAAATAACGGACACCTGATGAGTCTCGGAATGACTAAAAACGGAATGGAGAATTTTTAATGCATCCGCAGCAACCAAGATTGCACGAATTTGAGAGTAAATAGTGAGTTCGTTTCAAATTGTTAAAATTCTTATTGTGCACATATTTTCGCGTGAGAGAAATCATTCACAAGCAATTTTGATATATTTAAAGCCTTATATTGTTGTAATCATTTGTTTATCTCCGTTATGTCGACACATTTGACTACGTGGTGGAAAATTGACATAAATATGTATATATTAAAGTGAGTGTAATCGTAAAATTAATAAATATTATACATACACTATGTCATGATGAAAATATCACTATGTCTAGGCTTGATTTTTTCTTCCAGTGTCATGGAATGATGGGTCCCTTTTCATAGGTGACTCGCACTGTGTATAAATTATCTGACATAGGTTCAAAATAAAACAAATCGTAACGTCTTTTATACAACGACAAAAACCTTGAGTTTTTGAAGCATTAGAATTTACAAAAAAAAAATATTCAAAAGAAAAACTATATCGTTTTCTTTACAATCTAAATAAAAATACTGCAAGCACTGGATGTGACAGGCTAAACGTAGCTCATAAGAAAATGTATTTAGGCATCATATCAATCAGTAAACGATATTTGGGCATCTTTAATAATAATAATAAAAATATATTTCATTCCTTCAAATTAAAGAACATGGTACATGTTACAACTTAATAAATATTTACAGACATTAAATAAAAGCATTATTTTGTAAAAATCAGTCAGAATCAAAATAACAAATACGTACTCTGTTGTCTAATCGACGAAAAGAAGATCAAAAGTATTAAACAAAAGGGTAATTCATAGTAACAGTATTAATCATGAACAATTGACCAAAATTATGTCCACCGGTAATAATTAAAACGGTGAGTTAATTCACAATAAAATTTGTCTACATGTTTCAAATAAAAGTTATGGAGCAGAAAGTGAGGGTTATATTTCAGAAACAAATGATGATGTAATACAAAACTATAATGCATAATGTTAATCGAGAATTTCACAGAAAATAAATATCTGAAAAACAAATACATTTCTTCTTTATCTCACCACTAATTGAACATTTCCCCATTAATTGTAACATCTTGCCATAGGAAATAAACGCAGTTTTCGGGCGGCGTTAACAGAACGAACGCCATTTAATCTTAATGACCATTAATTTCTATCGTCAAATATCACAACACTCACGTATTTAAGAGTTAACTTCACAATAAGACATGAAAAGTTGAACTATGTCTTCAGTCAACCGATCACACTTAAACATTTACAAATGCATTTCCTGGACAAGTACCACGCTTAAATATTTATAAGTTTGAAATATAGGTGTAATTATCGTATTTGTCCATACAATACAAGATTGCGCCCCCAGGTGCAATAAAAACACCAAGGCATATCATTTAATCTACATTGACCCCGCTTTGCTTAAAATCCGATGAATAAGTATCCGCTTCCATTGAAGTTTAGACGGACTTGTATTAATAAAACCATATAGTCCGATTTTTGTGTTACCAAGATAGAAGTTTCTCTCACTACCAATATTTCTCTGTTCATTAAAAACCATATCGCACATTTGTCTGCATTAAAATGTATGAGGCTGTTGAGTCCTCATTTGAATAGGGTTCAAAAATTTACAAAATTTCGTTTTTGGAAATGTTTCGTTGGCATAAGAAATTTTCTACCACAGTTGTACATACCGAATCTAAGTTTACAGTAATAAACTGACAGTTTGCTTTATATCAGCGCCTAAGAGGCTATTATATTGATTATTGTGTTTATTATTATCGTATAAGTACCTAATCTCACACCCAACCTATTCTCAAACCTTTCGTTCATGAGTTGTTTATTAATTACTAGAAGTGACTATGATGGCATCAACTTGTGTGCATAAAATCTAAGTTTCTGACATACATGTCTGCTGCTGTCAAATCAAAACAATGCATTGGTACAGATATTTAGATTACATATTTCATTACCTAGTGCAATTTCATACAAATTGCTTTTACCTTTGTAAATCCTGTAAATACATCATTGATTTAACTAATGGTGAAAATGAATATTAACAGCAAATAAATCTTAAAGCAGGTACCTGCATCCTGTAGGGTACTTCAATGTCAAGTGATATTTGTATAACAATCACTTCATTGGCCAAATTAACCAGTAGAATTTCAGAGATACTTGAAAGGGTTGAGATAAGATCATTTTTTAAGTGGCCATGTCAGTTTTACAAAAAAGGTTGTGCTTTTCCAAGAGGACAATTAAGCTGTTTTAACCCCTTAAGTGCTGGACCCGAAAGCATTAAGTCTTTGCCACCAGTATAGAGCCAGGCCAGCCTGCACTTCCGTGCAGTCCGACCAGGCTCTATACTGTTGGCTGACAAATTTTAAATATTCAAATGAATATCCCTAAAATTGATATGGACAGTCCCAAAAATGGAAGTCCATTTAAAATATTCAGCATGTTCAGGGTTAATTGTTAAATTTCAGCCAAATTTTACAGAACTGTTACAGAAAGATAAAAGTGTGCATATGTAAAGAATTTTTATAAAGATATATATCTGGTATGCTTAGAGGTTTGTGACTGGTTTGTGCACGAAACATTTACTCCAGTTTACAGACATTACATCACTAGTATAAAGATCGTACATTACACATGGAAAGTCTATTGTACATATAATCGACCTGTTACACATCATGTACTAGCGGAGGACAGATTCTTCTAACATCGATTCATTGATCTTTCGGCCGACTATCATCACTGACTCGCACTCTTTCCGAAAAATTGATAGTATGCAGTAGAGTTGATGACAATTCAGGTTTTGGATACTGCGAGTTTGAATCATAAACACAGTATCTGTATTGAAAGGGATAACACTCGGGGAAATATTTCTTGTTCTACTATTGGACTGCTTAGAAAGCTCTCCAGTTTACAAATCCGGTTTACCTTGGACTGATTTAAGTCGTCTTCTTCGAATTGAACTGTGCTGAAGAACTGGCTTTAATATCTGTATTGTTCTCAAGTGTAATAATCAAGTTCAGATAAAAGAGACACATCCATCATTTATGGTTCAAAATAACGTATAACGGATGTATTTAGAGAGTAAAGAACATATTTTTTATTTGTTTTATTGAGCTCTACGCTCCTCGCCTATATAAATATAATACAAAAGTCAAATCAGATATAGCATGTATATATAGAGAGATAAATAAGTTTTGTGAATAACATTTTATGTGTAACAAAACTAATGCAAGCCATGAGTGCACATGGCCACACCTCAGCTAAATAATCTAAAATCGAGGTTACAAATAAATCGAATAAACTACACATAGTTTTTTGGGAAAAAATTGGAACTCTTTTGTATTAACTAATAATGTATTCATTGCTTTAAGCGCTTTACCCACTAACATTTGGGAATTAAGATTTAATCCACAATTTGAACCAAATACGACACCTAGATAGTTAAAGTTCTCGACTGTTTCTAATGTAATTCCATCGTATGTCCATTTCTCATCAACATGTAATCTTCCACTCTTTCTAAATACCATCACAATGTATTTTCCGTGTTAAGTTTCAAACAAAATGCATAAAAATGTCGGGTTACACATTTTTAGAGACATGT